AACCCTAACCCTAACCCTAACCCTAACCCTAACCCTAACCCTAACCCTAACCCTAACCCTAACCCTAACCCTAACCCTAACCCTAACCCTAACCCTAACCCTAACCCTAACCCTTGGGTATGGCCAGAGTTTTTTGGTAGGGTTAGTGTACGGGTAATGGGTTACGTGTCGCCTGATATTGAACCCTGGTGTGTCTGGGACCCAATACATTATTGAGGACCAAATGCAGAGGGTTAACCCAAATTGTTCATTTTATTTTGTTTTCGTCGTGTCTACATGGTTTCTTTTCTTTCTGCATGAGTGAGATTTGAGCATGGTCAACATGCCTAGGTCCGTGGTTCTCTTTATCGGAGTTGTGTCGGGCCGCCCAGGTACCTGTGGCGTCGTCTGCCGGTGGTGGCGTGGAGGGGCTGAGGGACCACGTCACCGGCTAAAAAGTGCGCTTGAGGAAGGTGTGGACATCTCGACGCTTCTCTTCACCTTCTTACCAATACCACTCCAGGACGGAGACGGTGAACAGCTATGGTTGCTGTTCCAGTCTCTTCTCCCGAAATACGGGCAGCAACTATACATCGACGGATACCGCTCTATTTTCATCTGTATGCGTCGCCTTTCGTCGTTGTCTGGTCTTGCTTCGCCTACGCCTATCTCATCAAGTATGACGAATGGTTCGGCGCAGAGGAATGGGCATTTCTCGCGGGTGCTATCATTCTGGCGTGTCATCTGTTAAGCTTCCTTACGACGCAGTGGAGCACGGGCATCAAAGCGAGGCTAACATGCATGAATGTACGCGCTGTTTCCCTTTGATTTGTCACACGAGCGCTAAGCCTATGTGAAGGCTTCCTCTCTCGACGACGCTGACTGTATTCGAATAATTCCGGCAGAGCACAGAGGCAAGGGAATGATTATCCCACTCAAGAAGAAGCCTACCACACCGGCGACGTACACCTTTGTTTATCAGTCCGACACGTTCATATACACGGCCGGCAAACCGTTCACTCAACTGCCTTATCCTTCTGATTCATGTCCGCTGCTCTCATCGTTCAGAGCATCCGGCTTGACCTCTCCGTCACTTCCTCCTCTGCGCGAGTCATACGGTCCTAACACCTTTGACATTCCGATTCCGTCCTTCCGCGAACTCTTCGCCGAACATGCTGTTGCTCCGTTTTTCGTCTTCCAGATGTTCTGTGTTGGTCTCTGGTGCCTAGACGAGTACTGGTACTACAGCTTGTTCACAGCCTTCATGCTTGTCGTCTTTGAGTGTACTGTCGTTTTCCAGGTATGTGTCTCTTCCATACCCCTGAGTTTTTATCCTGACCAGCTTGAAGCGTGTGAAAACGCTGAAAGAATTTCGCACTATGTCCATTGCACCATTTCCTATCCTGTGCTACCGGGACAAGAAGTGGCAAACGATCAAGACAGATGAACTTGTGCCCGGTGATGTGGTATCCATCAGTGCGTATTGTTGTTTCTTTGGGGAGTGCATGTCTCACTGTCGTTCCAGCTCGGACGAAGGAGGACACAGCTGTTCCCGCTGATCTACTGCTACTTCGCGGCACTGCCATTGTGAACGAGGCCATGTTGTCGGGAGAGTCAACACCACTGCTGAAAGAGAGCATCGAGTTGCGGGAGGGGACCGAGAAGCTGGATATGAACGGAGCAGATCGCAACAGTGTTCTCTGGGGTGGGACAAGGGTACTGCAAGCGCGGCCTGGTGAGGGAGCAGCTGAGGATGGTGGGTGTACCGCCGAAGTTCTGAGGACTGGTTTCGGGACAACCCAAGGCCAACTGATTCGGACCATGATCTTCTCGACTGAACGCGTCTCCGCCAACAACCTGGAATCCTTCCTGTTCATCGGCTTCCTTCTAATCTTCGCCATCGCTGCCTCGTGGTATGTTTGGGTACAGGGCAGAGAAAGGGGAATGTCGACCTACAAGCTCATGCTTGATTGTATTCTTATTATCACCAGCGTCGTGCCCCCAGAATTGCCTATGGAGCTGTCTCTTGCCGTTAACGCCAGCCTTGTCGCCCTGTCCAAGTACGGTGAGTACTCATCTTAGACACCTTCATGGGACTTTAGCTGACTTCTCTCAGCTATCTTTTGTACGGAACCCTTCCGCATTCCGTTTGCTGGTCGTGTGGATGTGTGCTGCTTTGATAAGACTGGTACCATTACCGCGGAGAACCTGGTTGTTGAGGGCGTGATCGGCATTGAGTGCGTACTCGTCCTTGATCGGTATCGAGTTGAACTGACGTGACCTAGTCCATCCGATCCCAAGAAACTCGTTTCCGTGAAGGAAGCAGGGCAGGACACAACATGGTGCCTTGCATCCGCTCACGCGCTTGTTCTGCTGGACGAGGATGGTTTGGTAGGAGATCCAATGGAGAAGTCTGCAATCGAGGCAATGGCATGGAAAGTGTCCAAGGGTGCGTATCTCCTGTATTCAGTACACCTCGCTGATGACTAACATCGTATGCAGGCGACACAATTGCTCCCATCCAGAAGGATGCCCCACACAAAGCCACCATTAACATTAGGCGCCGGTATCAATTTTCCTCTGCTCTGAAGCGGATGTCAACTGTCTCCTCTGTCTCCCACGGTGGCAAAACGACGACCATAGCTGCCGTCAAGGGCGCGCCGGAGACGCTCAAGACGATGTACACGACAATTCCGGATAACTACGACGAGACGTACAAATGGTACACCCGCCGAGGCAGCCGTGTTTTGGCACTTGGCATCAAGCCGATGCATGTCTCTGGTCACGAGGTAGGCGATTGTCCCTTTCGTAGAGTCGATACTCACCTGTAAGCAGGTTCAGCACCTCGCTCGTGACAAGGTCGAGACTGGTCTAACGTTCGCTGGCTTCCTGGTATTCCATTGTCCCCTGAAAGAGGACGCTGTTACATCCCTCAAAATGCTCGCAGATTCATCTCACCGCGTGAGTTTTGATATCAACTTTGGGAAGTGTGCCTAAAATGGGCCAACAGTGCATTATGATAACTGGGGACAATCCATTGACGGCAGTCCATGTAGCCAAGGATGTGGAAATTGTTGATCGTGAGACCCTCATTCTCGATGTCCGAGAAGGCGCCAAGGATCCCAAAGGTGTGCATCGTTATGCAACGCGTTGTTCTGGTACTCATCATGTTCAGATTTGGCTTGGCGTGATGTGGATGAGGCCATCATGATCGCCGTTAACCCTGACAAGCCCCTGGACAAGTCCCTTTTCGACAAATACGATATTTGCGTTACCGGTCCTGCTCTCAAGCAGTATGAAGATAAGCGTGGATGGATAGATCTGATTCAGAACACCTATGTCTATGCCCGCGTTTCCCCCACACAAAAGGAAGTGATCTTGACCACTCTCAAATCCCTCGGTTATACCACGCTCATGGCAGGCGATGGCACGAATGATGTCGGAGCGCTGAAGCACGCTCACATAGGTGTTGCATTACTAGACGGCACTGCTGACGATCTCAAGAAAATTGCGGAGCATCAACGCATTGAGCGCATCAAGAGCGTCTACGAGACTCAGCTAAAGATGTCGGCTCGCTTCAACCAGCCTCCGCCTCCTGTTCCTCCCGCCATCGTTCATCTCTACCCTGATCTTGTGGCTGCACAACAGAAGGCATCGAAAGACCTTGCGGAGGCGAGGAAGAAGAACCCTATGGAAAAGGTTTGTGCCGGACTCCATCTTTGCCGAGCACTTCATTGATGATGATATAGTTTAATCTTCAGCAAATGACTGATAAGCTTGCCGAAATGGGCGAAGACGAAGAACCTCCGAAGATCAAGCTCGGGGATGCTTCGTGCGCTGCACCTTTCACTTCGAAATTGTCCAACGTCTCTGCTAGTACGTCCCTGCCTTAGATAAAGGGTGTCAAACTGATTATTCCCTCAGTCACCAACATCATCCGTCAAGGCCGTTGCACCTTAGTGGCTACCATCCAGATGTACAAAATCCTGGCGCTGAATTGCCTGATCACCGCGTATAGTCTCAGTGTACAATACCTGGACGGAATTAAGTTCGGCGACTACCAGGTAACGATCACTGGCATGATGATGTCTGTCTGCTTCTATTGCATTTCGCGGGCTAAGGTACGATACTCGTGTTTGTTATCTCCCTCCTGTGGCTAAAAATAGCCGTGTAGCCGGTGGAGAAGCTATCCCGAGAGCGTCCTCTGGGCAACATTTTCAACTTCTATGTCCTCCTGTCTGTCCTCGGCCAGTTTGCGATCCACATTGTTGCGCTGGTGTACATAACGCAACTTTCCAAGTCCCGGGAAACACGCGGCGAGATCGACTTGGACGCCAAGTTCGAGCCCAATCTGCTCAATACGGCGATCTACCTTCTCGGTCTATCTCAGCAAGTTTCTACATTTGTGATCAACTTCCAAGGCCGGCCCTTCCGAGAGGGTATTCGTGAGAACTCTGCGCTGTTCTGGGGCTTAGCGGGGGCCAGCGCAGTTGCCTACAGCGGTGCGACTGACTTCATGCCGGAGATGAACCGATGGCTGCAGATCGTAGTCATGGATGATGACGTGAGTACGACCGCCAAGCCTTGTCTACAGATCTGACCGGAGTCTGCAGTTCAAATTCAAGCTGACGATATCGATGCTTGCCGATTTCGGCGGGTGTTTCCTGATTGAAGTGGTGACCAAGTATCTTTTCGCTGATCTTACGCCAAGACCTTTTGTGACCAAGGGTATTGAGCGGCGATTGAAGAGACGAGCGGAGGAAGAGGCGCAGGCTGAGAGCGCTGAGGTAGAAAAAAAGACTGCGTGATTGTACAATTATTGTATATCAGCATATTAGCGGTAGTCGAACACCCTTTTCGGTAATTTATTATGCAGCATAGACCCTAGAGGCGGCGGTGTCTTATACTGCGCATACATTCTGGAAATCGAAATCGGGTATGTGCGTCATGCTGCGTATACCCGTGAGGGTGCCAAGGAATTGGTGACGTCACTGCCCAATGGATGACCGGCGAGGGGAATGCGCGGTATAAATACGCCCTCTACCTTCCAACGCCACATCAGACCCCATCAGACATTCAATCCCCCCTTCATCTAACGCCATAACACTCAATATAATGGCATCCCCTCCCTCTTCCAATTCCGACGTCTTCCTCTACTTCCTCGCAATGTGAGTATCAAAACGACTCCCAGTGCAACCCTTATCTGATACTTTGCACAGCTTGCTGCCTCCCGTGGCCGTCTTCATCAAGGTATGTTTCTCTCTAACGTCATTAATTCGATATTCATACCTCATTCCTTTCTCAGAGAGGAATCACTGCTGATTTCTGGATCAACATTTGTTTGTGCATCCTCGCTTGGCTTCCAGGTGTCCTCCATGCTTGGTACGCACTCCTTAAAATCTCTCCAAGTGATAATTGACAGGATGAATGCAGGTATATTATCTCTAAGCACGCGCGTCCTGCTATGGCGTATTAGACATCTGGACCCCCTTGGAGAGGAGGGCGTTGCTTCTTGATGACATGCGACGTGCTTTGAAGACAATAGATACCTGGCATCAGGTGCGAACCGGATTCCCGACTGTACTTCATCTTCCTGATCAGGGATCTGATACCATACCATTTCTTATTTTGTTGTACCGGCCTCCTCTTCAAATCAAGCATGTATTACAGACCAAGCGACGATGCCTCCCCGCTCGATATGCGATTACCATTGTATATATGCATTGCATATGATTCTCAAAACAGCCTTGTATCCGCTACACGGTCGACTTACCCAATCTCGATACGATCGAAAACGTAATGTTGACACGCGAGTCTTCTGTACTTCGGCCGTACATAGTCAGCTGGAAGCGACGCTGCTTCTGACCGGTTGTTCGCAGACCGTTCTGAGCCAACATCTGGATCTCGGACACTGAACTCTTTTGCTACTCGCTCTCGCTCTCTCGGAGTGCTAGGCCGAACATGACGGCGGAGAAGGTAAATGCCGTCGCGTATTCCCCGTGTGACCGCTGATTAATTATCACGACAGGGAAGACAGCCGATGTATCAATTTCGGCCTCGTGGTAAAACTTGAAGGTTGCAAGACCCTGGCCAACACACACAAAGTACCACTACCCCCCCGACCCTTCGAACGATAAATACCCTCCTCGCACAATGTCCGCACTTTTTGACCCCATCCTGTCCGACAGCGGTGGAGTGACGGTCGACCCCTTGGGATCTGCTCTTACTCTGTGTTCTTCCCATAATGACTGGCCTCCCCGAGCTCACGAGGAAGAAGGATGGCGTCGTCCACGGCGGGACGCACAAGGAGGCTTCGCTAAACAGTTACGATGAGGAGGCTCTCATCGATCAGGCCGTCGAGCGCAGGATATTGATGAAGCTTGATCTTTGGATTGTGACAGTAATGACTTTGTTCTATCTTCTGAGCTTCCTGGTTCGCACTTCATTCCCATTTGGGGTAACCCCGGATCCACTAACCGTCCATTTAAGGATCGATCGAATATTGGAAACGCCCGAGTCGCAGGATTGCAAGCTGACCTGAAGCTGACCGACTTTCAGTACCAGCTGGCCATCACTTTCACCTATGGTGCGCCTTTTTGCTCTGCCCAATTCGTCATTCTGAATGTTCGTCAGTACCTTACGTGGTCGCCGAGTTGCCATCAAACTTGCTTCTGAAGATCGTCGGACCACAGATCCTCCTGCCCACCATCGTCACTATCTGGGGTGTCATTACCCTTTGTCAAGGATTTTGTCACTCCCTCGGCGCTCTCATCGCATGTCGTGTATTTCTTGGCTTCTTCGAAGGTTGCCTCCTCCCTGGCATCATGGTTTACACCGCGACGTTTACAAGCGAGCCGAGTTGCAATGGCGAATCGGTCTTATTTTCAGTGCTACCAGCCTTGCAGGTGCCTTTGGTGGTCTTCTTGCTGCCGCTATCCAGCAAATGAATGGCGACAAGGGCATCAGAGGCTGGAGTTGGATTTTCATCATTGAAGGCACTGTTACCGCTCTCATCGGGATTATCTCGTACTTTACCCTGCCAGAAAGTCCCTCCGCGGCACGCTTCCTCACAGAACAGGAGAAGACTGTTCTTCTCGCTCGGTTGAGGGCAGAGACTCGCGCAGTCGGTTATGAAGAGGAGCACTTCGACTGGAGCCAAGTTAAGCGTGCTTTGCTGCACACGCCCCAGCTCTGGATCCTCGGCTTGGGTTTGTTTGGAAATGGAATGACTCTGTTTGTATTGGCGTACTTCCTTCCATCTATTGTCGGGGCGTTCGGGTATTCGTCGACGAAGACTCAATCAATGACCGTGCCGCCGTATGCGGTCGCCTTTGTTGGTGGGTCATAGATCGTGCGATGGGAACCGGCGCTGACCTGATACGATAGTGACGATGACTGTGTCTTTCTTTTCCGATCGGTACAGAGCCCGAGGGCCAGTCATCATCGGCATGTCAGCTGTGGCCCTCATTGGCTTCGGTTTGTTCTTCGGTAAGTGCCTATGACTCCATTTATTTGGCGATGGAGCTCACAGAACTGCAGCCAACCTGAACGTTAACGTATCGTATCTTGGTGTTTTCTTCGCTGTAACGGGCGTCTACTGCACTGCGTCGTCCTTCTGCACGTGGATACCAAACAACTCTGGTCCTCATTACAAGCGGGCCTCTCTTCTTGCCATGTCTCTTATCCTAACCAATGTGGGAGGCATTGCGAGTACGTGGCTATTTCCTACGTCCGCCGCACCCAGGTACAGAGGCGGTATCATTGCCCACCTTGTATGTGCTTCCGTGCCGCTGATTTGCGGTGCCATCAACGTGGCATTTATCCATTGGGGAACGAAGAAGAAACAGGAGCAACGAGAGAAGATCCTGGCGCCTTATGAGGGTGATGAGAAGAGGGCATGGCGAGAGTTGGGGGATAATCACCCAGATTTTAAGTGGATGTTCTAACCACTTGGCCTCTACGAATACAAGTTCAAGAGGTTGTGTTGATGGACCAATGATGAATAAATGCGCATTAATATCTTGTGTATGTTGAAGAACGGCACATGATAGTCGCAACTCGATTTCAGGTGCTCGGAGACAAATATGTATATTTCAGGGACTTTGTAGCGGTGACTGCCACTCTGCCTGACTGCTTGTTCTTGCGCTTGACCACCACTTGCTCTCTTCAAAAATGCTCGGCGGTCTCAATCGTTTAGGACTTGGATTGAGAGCTCCACCTCCTAGCTATGCCAGCCATGGAATTGCCTCTGCACAGTCATCCGACAAACTGACAACACTCTTTGTCGGCTCCATTTCAGCTGGTATCGATAATGCTTTCCTTGAACAATTGTTCACTGTATGCGCATGTCATCTTACTGATCGTCCTGTGCTCACTTTTAAATAGTCATGCGGAACTCTCAGATCCTTCAAGCGATTGCTCAATGCGCAGAACAAGCCACAGGCGTTTGGGTTTGCAGAGTATGAAGAGCCTGAGGCGGTGGATCGAGCACTGCAGACACTGAACGGTCTGCAGTTGCCGAATTTGGAAGATCCTAACGGTGAGGCTAAGAAGCTGCTGGTAAAGGCGGACGACAAAACAAAGGCTTATCTGGCTGCATATGAGGCTCAGCGCATGCGTACTGAGGTGCGTGCAACCCCTTCATATCGTTCAGTATCCAACCTTACATTTCGGCATAGAGTGATGAGGAAGCCCTCATATCTGCACGAGCCTCTATCTCGCATCTCGTATCTACTATCGCACAGGCCGGCATGTCTTCGTCAAACATGCCCAACAAAAAAGACGCCCCCATCCCACCACATCTTCGTGACTTGCAAGAGGCCGACCTGCCAGAGGAGCAGCGTGGCCTGGTCATGAGCGAAATCGCCATGTTTCGTGATCGAGCAGCGAAGAAGGAGGTAGAGAAGAGGAAGCAAGCGGAGGAAGCTGCGCAAAGTGCGTCTGCCGCTGCTATTGCTATGTCACCTATAGGACCACCGACCGGTCCCGGACGTGGTTGGGGAAGAGGACAGCCCCCACCGTCTGGACCGCATCAAGGTTTCGGTACTGGTCCTCAAAGCTATAATCGACCTGTTGGTTTTGTACGTGGTGGCGATGTTGGATGGCAACAGCGTCGACCGAGTCACGGCGGGGCAAGCGAGAGCGACCTACGATCGCCGAGCAGCATAGAGAAGTCAGACTGGGAACTCGAACAAGAAAGGCTGGAGATGAGGCGACAACAAGAGGAAACTTCTTTCCGTGATGTGAGTGACATGAATATGTCGGACTTGGCTTGTATGTTTACGTTGTTCCAGCGGGAGCGCCGGTATGAGAATCGCGAACGTACGCGTATCACTCAGATTGAGCGGCAGATAGCGCGCGATACGGCATTGGAGAGCCAACGAGAGCGCGATCGAGCCGATATGTCTGTCCGATTAGAGATGTGGGATGATGATGAGAGTGACGAGTTGTTCTATACGGACCGGTGCGCCCGGACAAGTTGACTCGCATTGTATTTCGCTCACAAGCCCCGTAGAGCAGCTTGGAGATCGAAACGTGCCCAGTCCCTTGCTCGGGAACGCACGGCTGATCAGCGCAGCTGGGAAATCGAGCAACGTGAAGCTGAGCATCTTCGTTTGGAATCGGAGAAGTTCCTTGAAAGACAGATGGAGGATCTTGCCTTAATGATGGACGAGCAACGCAAGGCCGGTCTCCTTCTCGACGACATTGCGCCTCTCAAGCTGTCTATCAACGCTGCTGTGCCGAAGATTGAAGAAAAGAGGGAGACTAAGCCCGAGCCCAAAAAGTTAATGATGGAGGAAGAAGACGAAGAGGACACGAGCAAAAAGAGAAGCGGCCTTGTGAAGCTTGACTTCGACGCAATGAGCCGAGGAGGGAAACGAGTTGAGAAACTGGAGACACTGAAAGGCCGCGTTCTTGCTATGGATACCGACGAGGTGATCAAGACGAAGCTCAACTGGTTGGCCCTGAACGATGTATGCCATATTGTCATGTTTTATGATCTTTGGCTCATTGGATTGACAGGCGACGATCGATGCCAAAGTTGAGCCTTTGGCGAGACGGAAGATCACTGGCTACCTCGGCGAACTAGACGACGATGAGCTGGTCATGTTTGCAGTTGAGCATGTGAAAGATCGCAAAGGACCGACTGAGCTGGCCGAGGGTTTGGAGCCGGTACGTTGTGCGGTTGGACGTGGACATTCAATTATTTACTGGTTCTCCAGGTACTGGAAGAGGAGGCGAAGGACTTTGTGAACGATCTATGGAGGCAGCTAGTATTTGAGAGCATGGCGTACGCTGAAGGGGTCGACACCATGGACATGTTCATTGTATGAGTACCTATGTGATCCAAGGCCAGAGCGCATTGTTCCATTACGCACATTATCGTACATCAAGATACAGTCAATGGGTATCCGATCCTGAATATAAGGAAGCACAAGCAGCAACGCTCCGTTAAGCAATAACGCAGCACGAGTTTTGCTGCACGTAATTCAGAACAAAAACTGAGGAAATCATGCATGAACGCACCTTCTTCGCTGTCTTGTAGAACATCTTGCTTTGCATGCTCAGGTTGTTGGAGCGCTCGACCAAGTTATCGAGTTTCTCACCCCGTTGTAATACCGATTCTATGGTCTTATGCTGTGGTGGAGGTAACCTCTCTGGCACAGAACAGTGAACAACCGACTTACTAAAATGATCTTCGTCTCGTCCAACTCAGCTTGCACCTTCATGATGGAATCAGCTTGCCGAGGATCCTGATACTTGTCCACGTAAGCCTTGACGGTGGGGAACGAGATGCTGGATGGGTTGGCAAATGAAGACCGGGGAATTTCGGTGGCGAAATCATCCAAGACCTTCTGCAGAAGAGAGAAGGCCGGTCGAGGGGGATACTCCAGGTCGGTAATGATGAGCGCTGAGCATTCAATCAGTCCTGCGCAAGCAAGTGGGACGCCACGGACATACCAGCAAGGTTATCCGCCCCTCCTTTATTGTACACGTTGAACTTGTAGCTCTGCTCTTCAATTGACTGTCTCTGTCCTGGTGGCGTACGATCGACAACGGTCTTTGAGAAGAAGTTCAAGAACTCTTGTACGGATCCACGCTGATAGAAGGAATAGGAGGACAAGTCGGCATATGCTGCCAGCTGGGTTGAACTGCCGCCAGGAGGTGCGGTAAATATGGCAAGAGAGTAGATCCTCATGATGATAGTTCAAAGTCTAGTTTGTTAAAAGAGAAGAGATGGCGGTAAAGAGAGAATGAATGGTGTGAACGTGGTCGTGCAGTGGCAGCCTCTGTGGCGATCCACGGGTCCACGCCTCTCCCCTGACGTAAATACACGCACTTGGCTACAATCACGGTGCTGTGAATATTGGTGAGAAATATCTTATAGGTCTGATACTCTAACCTCTTCAACATCATAACGCAGCAATCTTATTCAAGCGAATGGTATCTATCACTTTTGTCAGAAGAAAACCAAACACGACTAGAAGCTGTGTAATTACACAGCACAAGGCGGCCGAGGATAAAGTGATCGAAATGATATAATTGTTAGGGTTCTTGACCAAGATTCGCGCCTGGGGGCCGCCGCCTGTGAAACTCCAACTTTTCTTCTTACCTTCTTGCTCTTCAGCGCTCTCTATGGCATCCTGTCCTTCATAGCTTCGTGCGAGTCAAAATGGCGGTCGTAATTCCCGCCTTATTGCTCGCCCTGTTCTGGGTCGTCGTCCATCTCATACACAGGCTCACTGTTCAGCGCTTTCTAACACCACTGCTGCCGAGAACTCGACCCCTAACAAGATCCTCAGGTCCTGGGTCATGCTTCGATCCAGATTACACCAGCTTCCACCTTTCTTATGTCAATCTCAAGCTTGAGACGACTGCCTTCAACGCTGCCCACGAGCGACTATCCGGCTATCTTGTGAACCATGGCTGGCTTTCCTTCGGCAAGGCTCTCTACGGCGTCGGGGCCGTTATCGGAATTGTCGGCATGTTCGCCAGCCTTTGCATTGTGGCTTGGACGGGTTTGCTCGTCATAAGCGAGACGTTTTTGGATACTTCAGTCACGCCCGGTCTGCCACCAATTGCAAGAAAAATTGCGAGCCGTGCAATAAGCGCCCTCCCTGCGTCTCTGGCACCCGATTCCCAGGCTAGTTTAGCTTTGCGGCCACTGGTATGACCCTTTCTCTGGCCTGAGGATCCCCGCTTCATCTGATCAATTGGCAGATACCTGGAGTAACAATCCCAATATCTCATTTACCTCTCATGCTCATCGCATTGTTCATTTGCCAATCATTTCACGAATTTGGACACGCCATTTCTGCCGCATTGTACGCCGCATCTCGGAAGATGTCTTCTCCTAGCTAATAATGTTCCCAGAGAAGACACGCCTTTGCATTCTGTCGGACTCGCTCTTCACGTCATTGTTCCAACAGCATTCGTTTCTCTAAAAGAGAAGCCATCCACCACACCAAGCGCAAATCTCCGGCTGGCGAGTGCCGGCGCCCTTCATAACATCTTCTTGTGGATCGCATTCTATGCCCTCGCTCATAGTGGCTTGGGAAGATTAGCTACGCCAATCGGCTGGACCGACGTTAGCAGTCTAGGGAAGGTCGTCCTGGGCTTCAATGAAGTGAGTCCATGATTATTATGAAGAGACCAAAGCTGAACAGCTCCAGGCAACCAGTCTGGATGGCTACATGCCTCGCGGTTCCCTTGTTGTACAACTAGACGATACGCCTCTAGGCCAATCGGCACGAAACGCGGGTCAGGGAGACCCATGGGAAACATTTCTTTTATCAAAAGCCCCGCAAGAGCTTCGCCGCGGCTGGTGCCTCGACTCTTCCGAGTTCGTCGGTGTGTGTTCTTCCCTACATACCATTCTCACCATCTCATGCGTTCAGGCTCCCCGACGGCATGCTGTTCGGAACCATCCACCGCCGAGCTCACATGTTTCGTGCCGATGTCGGCACCACCATCCGAGTACCAAGGACACTGTCTGTCCCCACTGTCCCTCTTCAACCGAAACAATACGACTCCACGACGTTGTGACCCTGCGGGCTGTCCAGGACAGGATCTATGTATTGTTCCGTCTGCAGAGTCGCAGTTGCTCCGCATTGCCTTCGTTGATATGGAGCGTGGCAAGGAAAGAGTGGTTGTCTGGAAAGGCCCGAGACTGGAAGTGTATCGACAAGGTATGCCTATCAATTGTAGTTCTGGCCAAACTCACGATAGTCCCTGCCTGAAGTTCGTGTCGGCACATACCTACCCCGCACACCCCTGATACCTTTTTGGCTTCCTGACCTCGTGAACCTGTTCATCTCGTAAGGACTTATATCGGAAAGATGGCGCGAATGCTGCTGATGCCCTTTTCATAGCTATAATCTGACCGTCACGATCGCACTCTATCTATTCAATCTCTTGCCATTGCCCTTATTGGACGGGGGCCAAGTTCTATCATCACTTTTGGATCTCCTGTTCGGTGCCGACCCCTCTCTAGGAGCGGACATCAACTTCAACCATGCGCCATGGCAAAGGCGGAACAGAAGGGAACGAATCGAGAGGGCTTTTCACTGGGGAGCAGGAGCCTTATGTATAACAGTGGCTTTGGCCGTTTCTGTGAAAGAGCTAACGAGATCTTGATATACCCACATGTTGAACTCCTCTTCACGCAAGCCGTAGTAAGGATTGGGAACGTCTTTCCGATAATGGCGGTACGATTGAGAAGATTACGTGGAAGTTGGAGCTATCACCGATAGGGCCGGGCGAAACGGCCATCGGAACAAAACTGAGAATAGCTGGAGTCCCGTGGGGACATGGTGTGGGGCAAAGATGGTCCGCGCGGAGTGAATGGAGCGCACATGATGGGCTCTATGCGATCGTCAAGGCCATGATGGAATATTATGCCGAAGAATTCAAGGCTCCGCAAGGGCTTCAACTTCTTTGATTCCGATCCCGCTTTGTTTTTCTTACCATTGCGGAAGACCATCTTCTGTCGGTTCCTTGGGAGTCTCTACCAGAATTGCAAAGCGCTTCAGCATGTGTACCTGGTCCAGCTTACGGCCTGGCTTCGGATCTTGCTCACCTGCTATGGAAATTGCCTTGTGCAACTTTGGCAGGAATGCCCTTGTGACGCCTGCCGGTCGTGTGCTCCCCAGTGCTTCGCGTCTTCGTTTAATCAGGTATTGCGATTGAGACGGTCTCTTCTCCGAAAGGAAACGCGTGGACGTTCCCAGTGTCTGATCTATTCGTTTGAAACGGTATAAATAACTTGCCGATGCCTACTCCCGCCTGTACTGGCTGTCTTCTGCCCGTCTCATTTGGTCTCACCAAAATGTCGGAAAAGCGTCGCACAATCGGCCTTGAGGCTAGGAGCGTAAGTGACTTTCGACTGTGAACCCAACTATTGCTCAGAGGAGGCCGTTGCAGTACTCTCCATGGATCGCCAGCAACCCATACATTGTGGGCTCTTTCGCCTGTATTGGCGGTGGATTATTCGGTCTCGACATTTCGTCGATGTCTGGCGTGCTCAACGTATGACTCGCATGCCTTGGAGACCTGGCGTAGCATTCTGAAACTCTTTGCGCAGAATCCCTACTGGCTTGACTTATTCTACAACCCCCAGGGAGACATTCAGGGGTAAGCAGGTCACCAGCGTCTTGCCTTGGTCACCGAATTGTTCTCAGTGCCATTGTGGCCTCGATGCCTGCTGGGTCCTTCGTTGGTGCCATTTCCGTCGGTTGGCTCGCGGACCTCCTAGGCCGCAAGCGTCTCATTATCATTGCTGGTATCATCTGGGTCATCGGTTCCATTCTCCAATGTGCATCTATCAACCGAGGCATGCTTGTCGTCGGTCGTATCATATCGGGTATCTCAGTCGGAATCAGCTCCACTGTTGTTCCTGTTTATCAGGCGGAGATCACTGCGCCTAGTATGTAAGTGAAGACAAATTCCCTTTTCGAAATCAGGCTAACAGAAATCAAGTCGGGGTCGCATTGTATCTCTGCAACAGTGGTCCATCACTTGGGGTATTCTGATTCAGTACTTCATCCAGTTCGGGTGCTCCTACATCGATGGAGTCGCTTCTTTCCGCATACCTTGGGGTCTTCAGATGATACCGGCTATCGTTCTCTCCGTAGGCATGCTTGCATTCCCTGAATCGCCTCGTTATTTGCTCGACAACGACCGTGGCGAAGAAGCGCTGCAAATCCTAGCAGATCTACACGGAAAGGGTAACCAGAATGATGAGCTTGTGCAACTCGAATATCACGAAATCGTCCTTCAGATTGAGATGGAGAGAAAGGAAGGTCCAAAGGCATGGAAGGACATGTTTGCCCCTGGCATTTTCCGTCGTGTGTTCCTTGGCATGACTCTCCAAATGTGGAGTCAGCTGACTGGCATGAAGTACGTAACAGTTTCTGGCTTCCGCATAACGGTATTCATTGTTCTGCAGTGTCATGATGTACTACGTGCGTGCCACAGATAACGTTATCGTAACGCTAGTCTGAGTTGTCATAGATTACCTACGTCTTTGCGGGCGCTGGTCTTACGGGTCGTCGTGCCAACCTCATTGCTGCATCGGTGCAGTATGTGCTCAACATGGTATTCACCGTCCCATCATTCTGGGCTATCGACTGGTGGGGACGTCGCCCACTTCTCCTTACGTAAGAACTACAATTCACGAAAGCTTCCCGCTAATATCGCGTTCAGGGGTACTGGCCTGATGTCATTCTTCCTGTTCCTGGTCGGCGGTCTTCAGGGTGGCTATGGAGAGATCCAATATGTGGCCGATGCTGGAAGCAGTACGCTTGTCGCCTTCCGTAACTGGGAACCTAGAACTCAATTATGGCAGATCAATGGGTCATTGTCGGGAATTCGAGCGTTACCTACGGCATCATTGTCTGCTCGTACCTGTTCGTGGTCTCCTTTTCTTTCACCATGGGTCCCGTATCCTGGACCTACCCTTCGGAGATCTTCCCGATGAAAGTTCGAGCGAAGGCTGTCTCATGGTCGACCGCTGCCAACTGGGTAAATTGCCTCCTCTCTTTCTATTTCCTGGAGACTCTGATTAATTCATGAAGGCCTTCAATTTCATGCTCGCGTTTTCGGTCCCACCGGCGTTTAACAATATTTATTGGAAGACCTATATGATTTTTGCCACTGTAAGTACCGAAGGTCGACATAGAGTGTCTAACGTCTGACCCGCCGGCCGGGAAAGTTTAATGCAGCTGCATTCATCCATATCTTTTTCATGTTCCCTGAGGTGATTTTAATTTTGCATTCAGATAACGCCATGTATTTACGTTTCCGTAGACAAAGGGACGTACTATTGAAGAGATGGAGGAGATCTTCGCGGCCGGCCACGTGTTCACCGCTTGGAACGTTGGAAATGACATCGGTCGGCACAATCTGGAAGAGATCCGTCGGGAGGTTGAAGGCCGGCTCGGGACAGGCACCGAGAAAGTAGACCCGGAACTTGAAGAAGCGCTTGCTCACCCCGCTCAGACAGTTTAGTCTTGCTTTTTGTGTATCTGGTGACGATTTATGAACTAAATGAACTGTGTTCTGTAAAATGCTACATTTGACCAGTGCAGGCCATTTAGCGAAAGGAAGAATGTGACGCTCAAAAGAAAGTACTCGAGATACTATGGAAGAGATGATATAAGCGCAAGGGCGTGTAGAGTCACCCCGGACCCCGTATGCCGATACATTCCGCGGATGAGTTTGGGCGTATCAAGGTTGGTGTTAGCAGTGGCCTCGATAGGCGTACAGATTGCCAGCTCCACTTATTATTGAACGACTATGACCACTCTCACTCCGGGGCAACGAGCTCGAATAAAGGACGCAACTTATAGACTGCTGCAGCCTTGTACGGTGTTTCTGCAGCAGCTTGTCCGGATCGATACCACCAATCCACCAGGTTGGAACTACCCCGAGTGTGCACGTCTCATTGGCGATACTCTCTCCAGCTTGGGCTACGATGTCGATTACTATGAAGTACCTGAATGCGATCTCCCGAGGCTGGCACCCCACGGGAAGGGGTTGCCCAGAGTGAATGTTATTGGCCGGCACGAGTTCGCCGCCGGTCAGGGCAAGGTGCTTCACTTCAATGGACACTACGATGTCGTGCCATGTTCAGAACCCGCAGCATGGGCTTCGCAACCTTTTGAGGCCGCAATTCGTAGATCAGCGGATGGGAAGGAGGAGATTGTGGGAAGAGGTGTGAGCGATATGAAAGGTGGAATTGCTGCGCAAGTGTTCGCTATCGAGGCATTGAAGCTTGCGGGACTACGGTTGAAGGGCACGGTCGAACATTCAGGAGTGTACGCACTTACGCTTCATTGAAAACCGCTGCCTCGGATCTGATATTCTCTTCTAGTGTGGATGAAGAGACCACTGGGATCAACAACGCCGGTATGGGCTATCTTGTTGATATCGGCGTGATCTCCCCAAAGAAACAATCGGCAATTGTCATCACTGAGCCTCTGAACACTACGAATGTCTGCTTGGGCCATCGCGGTGCTATCTGGGGACGCATCATCTTCAAGGGCGTGGAAACTCATGGAAGCACCCCTCAGCGAGGCAAGAACGCCCTCGCAATGGCAGCGAGATACATTGTTGCAGCGGAGGAGGAGATTGGGGCAAGCCTCAAGAACAAGGTCGATACGCGAGTGGTGCCGCCAGAAGCACAGACAGCATCTTTGACATTCACGATATTTAACTCTGGACATGCTACGAATCTCGTACCTGCTGTGGCTACATTGACCTTCGATCGTCGATTAGTGCCTGGAGAAACCTTGGACTTGGCAAGAGGAGAGATGCAGTCGCTTCTACGAAAGCTTTTCCACGATGACGAATGGATCTACGAGGAAACATACTCGACAGAGCCAGTCTGGGTGGGAGAAGAGGAGGAGATTGTGCAGGTGTGGAAGCGGGCCGTGCATGACGCCTGTAATGTTACGGCTGGCATCGTCTGTTCGCCGGGGAGTGATGATCAGGTCTGTTGCATACCCTCTCCCCGGAATAATTTTGACGTCATGTCTAGCGTTTCGTTGTCCACGATGCGAGGTTGAATTCATGCATTGTGTACGGGCCGGGCAACATTCGAAATGTCCATAATTTGGTAAGGAAGGATAGACCTGACCATTCCACCTGGCTTGACACCCATTGCCAGAATGAGAGTCTACCGTTAGAAGACCTGCGAACTGGAATGGAGGTCATGGCACTGGGCGCTGCGATGTATCTGGGCTTTGAGGACATACAAATACAACTCTGACACTCCATAGATTTAGATGTGCATGTAGCCGTAGCGGTTCGTAGACGTTGGTATTGTATTCAACGTAGTCACAAAGTAGGGGTTGGACAGTCGCGCACAAGCCCACTACAACAACTCGCTGGTCTTGTACCTCAGAATCAATACCAAATACTAGAAGAAGGAATGTGGAAAGAGACTCATAGACTACAACGAGGACACAAGGACAGGGACGACTCACGACGACTCCTCTGACTTCATCTCCAGATCACCTCCCACAATTTCGGGATCACTGGGCTTGATATGTAGTCCGTCAAACACTGGCACGCGATCAGACAGAGTATTGAGCGCAGATGAATATAGACTTGCCGAGGGCAACCTCCTCTAGGGTCGGACCCTTCGTCTCGGGATAAATGTAAAAGATGATGATGGTCTCGATGGCAGTCCATACGCAGTATACAAGGAAGAACTTCCAACCCAGATTCTGCATACCGATAGGATTGACAAATTGATTGAAAGCTGTACTGCCTCGGGTAGCTGTTTGAGTGATCGCAACACCCTTCGCACGCAGCGAATATGGAAAGATCTAGATACGGCATATTGAGTGTTATCCAATGAAAGAACGCTGGTGCCTACTTCGGTGACGTATATGTATGTCAACGGCATCATCAGGTTGTAGATTGGGGCGTAGACGAAGACCATCGCTACCGCAGATATGGCAGCATGAACACTCCCGGTCTCCACGTACAACGCAGCTGACATTGTGTAGGATGTGAACACAAGAGTCATCCCCGCATATGCAATGAGGTACTGTTGCCGTCTGCCAAAGAACTGCGTACAAAAGGCGCCGGTCACGCCAGTCAAGAGATTCCAGCATTGAAGACCGACGTTGATGACGTTCTGTGTGTAGGGAGAGGTGACCCCAGCAGTGCTCAAAACCTTGGCAAGATAGTATGCGAACAACCCATTGCCAGACCATTCAAGGAATAAACCAGCACAGAGAGCGATCAGGGAGCGATGCTGGTTTCCACGAGTCCGGAGTAAGTCTGCCCACGACCCCATGCTTGAGCCGTTATCACCCTTGATCATGTTCTTGATCTCGAACATCTGCGCCCTGACAAGAGCGTTGTCAGGATTACCTTCGCCGTGATAGAGGGTAAGAATCCTGAGCGCTTCTTCCTCGTGGCCATGTGCAACGAGCCAGCGTGGGCTTTCGGGGACCCACCTGAGGAGGGTTTGAGCGTATTGCTGGAAGCCGCTCAGGATATGTCACTCACCAGATGAAAGTCAGCGTGATAAAAGTGGGGATAAGTTGCAAGAGAGAGGGAATCCGCCAGCTCCACGTCGAAGACATGTTAAAACTGCCCAACGTCACTCCAGCAGCAACGATAGCACCGGCATACCAGCTCTCGCTGAATAGTCCGATACAGACGGCACGGTCATTTGGATGAACCAATTCGGCAAGGAGCTGAGAAGCTCCTCCAACGCCGAACACAATGCCGATACCAAGCAAGAGACGGGCAACGAAGAACATGGCAACTACATGGAAGCGTCAGCCTATAGCAAAGAATATCCAGGAGACACAGTTACTATGAACAGACCCGGCCTGCAAAGCAACCCCGATCAGCATGATCAGACATCCGATAATGATAGACGGTTTTCTTCCATAATGATCATTCGCGTATGGTACAGTCGGCAGGGCGATAACCGAGCCGATTGCGAAAGCGGCTGTGATGAGTCCCAAAACGGCGCCAGATGGATGGCCGAAATCTATCAAGAAATTACGATGCAAATTGAGGTTGACGGAAAGTCACTTACACCCGAGCCATACAGCAACAGACTGTAATCCGTTAGTCATGCTGCCGTCATAGCCCGCAGCCATCTCCACTCCCAGAGCTGCGGGAAGGAGAACGGAATAAAGGGCGCGGAGATTCTTCTTTTTGTACCAAAGACCATCGTGCTGAAGGACTTCCTGCACATCCGATTGTTGGATGATGCGCTCTAGACGAGGAGCATTGGCAGCAAAGGAGGCCATCGAGGGACTGACGAGTAGACGACAAAGAGCGGAAAGCAACGCGCCAATATTCCGCACGTTTGCGTGTTATATACGTACGGTTAAAAGAAGAATTCAAAGAAGATACGAAGACAAGCGCGCAACGCCTTTCCGGGACAGAAGCGCCGTCGCATCGTGAACAATCGTGGTAGATGCGTCGTTATCAGATTGTATAGCAAGTCCAACAAAGAGATAACCCATGATTCAGAGTATGCAAAAGAGGACGTAATTATCAGCTAAGATTATTGACAATCCAAGGCCGAAAGTAGATGACTCGAGAAGTGAGGGGTGGTCCTGTGGGCCGTCATCGGGAAAGCCCCGTGGCTGGCTGTGGGCGAGTCGCAGTCAATGTGGCGGCCCTGCGCGCCCTGTCATATTGCACTGCCCAAATACCTGCAACATATTCCCAGACGACCTCATCAACCATTAACCTGTCCAACCATGGATGCCCTTCGGTCTATCAGTCCATCCGTTGCATTCAAAGTTGCTAACACGTTGGCCGCTGCGTTGTTGCTGGGAGGTGGTATTAGTGCGCATAGACTTATCTCCGGCGGTTGAATTAGGATTCTGACCAAGTCCCGCAGCTCATCTAATCTATCACTCTTTCACCGTACGACAGAGTGACTCTTCAGCTTAAGCGCTCACTCATCCCGTGTTATCCAGTCGATTATCGTTGGCATCTACGCCGTGATATTTGGCATTCTTGTTGCGCTGCTCGAATGGTATCCCGTGGGCGCTGAACGGCACCACGTTCTCTACCGTCATGCATCCTTCTTCTACTCCTTCATCGGACGTGGTATTTGTGCGCACTCCCGTTTCCCGGAGATTGATTGTGCCTGACGTTGATTCAGTTTATGCGCTCTTCGGTGTGCTGCTCCTGGACCATTTCACCGTTGCCTACGTGTTTGGCGGTTTCCTCATCTTCGTCGGCATTATCTTCTTCGTTCTGCAATTCGTGCCCATCTACGACATCCCTCCGTAAGTACACTGGCTAAGTCACTTGACCCCATGTTTACTGCTTTTCAGTTCTATGCAACCTCCCAGCTCCGCCGAGGATGCACAGCCGGTGTGGAACGCTGACGCAGATGCCGTCTAAGTAACATATCCGACCGTACCAAACTTCCAGCCATTCCGAAGGCGCTTAGGACATTGCGAGCCAATACTATTATCTGCTGTGTATTTAGATAGTGCTACATGTTAATTACTATTACCAAGATCTACTCTACACCGTCACGGTCAAACTGCGCTCTCACAAAAGAACTTACGATCTCGGCGGCTGTCCGTACCTCTCTTACGACTTTCTCCCAGTTTGTCCTTTCCCCTTCTCATTCAGTCCACACCAGCTTCACCCAACAACCCCCCCACATCAATACTTCCTGTCACAGAGGCCACGGGAGGACCGGGTGTCGTAGGTAAGATCAGAACACATCCTTGCTAGCGTTCTCCATATGATGCTTTTCCTACTGGGAGTCGTGTCCTCTGAGGACAGATCCAAAATAGTCGAAGGTGTGGGCAGAAAATTGAGAAGAGCACGCAGCTCATGCATTCTCTCTAGGGACACGGGCGAGATGGTCTATCGAATGACCACGCGCAAGTAGTATTCGGTACACTATCTCGTCCGTGTCTCGAACCTTGCCTGTCCAGATGTCTCGTATCAGATCCCCCAGTAAAAGTCCTGATGTGTCGGGAAAGTTCCCTTCCTCGTATGCCCGGATGAAATCCTCATCCGTTTCATATCCTTCAACGCCTTGGAAAGGAGCTTTCCCTACAAGGATCCAATACATGACACTGCCAAGGCAGTATATATCGACTCGGGAGAACTCCTCCCAATCCAACATCGGTTGGCTGCAGAAGTCCTTGACTGTCAGTTGAGGGCCGATAGACGCTGTTCCGTGGTAGTTGCCAGGGAACGACGCTCCCTCGAAGTCGGCAAGCTTGATGTTCAGCTGCTCATCGAGGAGGATATTGTGAAGCTTGAGGTCGGCATGGATGACCTTCTGGGCGTGTATTGCCTCGATTGCACACGTCACCTGAAGGCACCACCTGATGCGTTGATTAAGGGGATGTCCGAGCCGTGCCA